TAGCCGGGGTATCGTACCCGGGCTCCGGCTATGATACCTGAGTTAAATTTTGGTGGTATTGGCAAGCAGGGTACGGTATCTAGTATCGTACCCGACCTCCAGTACAATACCAGATACCCTGATTTTCCAGTATCTGGAGAAGGGTACGGTACCAGAGCTGTACCCTTGGCGCGGCTACAGTACTGGATCTCTTGGACACTTCCACAACCATCGATTGCCCCTCCGTCCACGGTGCCATACATGGAAAAATTTGTAAGTGAATCATCTTCATATCCCCCTCTTGTGCTGGTTTTTCTTTTTTCTCTATCGTTGTCACTCCACTTCGCTTGAACGTGTTATCTGGTAATAAATTGGTACTAGTAACCGCCTTCGAGGTACGGTACTGTTTTGTATCCTGCCCCTCCCTTTGCGATACGGTATTGTACCGTATCGTCAGGTATTCTGACAAAACCAATATTGTACTGTATCACTCCTTGTGGAGCAATACGGTACCCTCTATGGTCCCACAAGGTATTGTTCATTGCGGTACGGCTCTTGGTATTGTACCCGGAACCAGGCACAATGCCGGGGACTGGGTCTGAAGGTATCAAGCAGCCAGTTACGGTGCTGGTACCGCCAATACAATACCAGTACTGTATCTGTGGTGGCCTTGCTACCATGGTATGCTAGTACAATAGTACAGATAGAACCATAGTACTACAGTCAACTCTCAATGTAAGCAAGCTTGACATAGACATATATTGCTATATGCATAGGTTTTGGCAAGATTCTGTTTGGTATACATGGGCCCAATAGGCATATTATGCTTTCACAATTATTCATCGCACAATATAGGCAAGGAGTATCTGTTGACCATTGATATGCTTACATCAAGAGTTGACTGTATTAGTACTATATAAGTACTATAGTACTATACTATTGTACTATTACTACCATAGTATGCTAGTACCACAGTACCGATAGTACCATAGTACTGATAGTACTGTAGTACTGATAGTACCATAGTACTAATAGTACTATTGGTACTATTGATACTTATAGTACCATAGTACCAACAGTACTATTGGTACCATGGTAGTACCATTGGTACTGACAGTAGCACAGTACTGATAGTACCACACTACTGATAGTACTTGAGCCACCCAACCTTTTTTTGACACTATGTACCTTTACTTCGAATACCGCCATAGCACAGAATACTCCAAACTTCAGACTCATAGTAAAGAGTGGTAGTAGATACATTGTATTACAAGTCCAAGCAGCACAAACAATTCTTGGCTTGTATTGTAATACCTAAGCTACAAATATTGCTTACATACAACAACACATTGATCATATATCACTCAAGTCTTCACTAACTCAGACACTATGTTGTATCTATACTGTGTTCTTTGTTTCTCTCTGGCACTGATGTCCAGTACTTAGACATAAATGGGTCCCAGTTGTATGTCATTGACAAAGGCACAATGGATTCATTCATCAATTCCTGGATATTAAAAACAAATTATACATGCACAAATTTGAAGAAATAAGAGATATATCACACTTATTATGTTATTCAGATAGTTGAACAATTTTTTATTGTTATCACATCATTCTACATAGTTTGATCAATTGATAGGATTCAAATTGAAGAAATGATCCAAAAGAAACTGTTTAAACAGTAACCAATTTGAGATGAAGATTGCATCAAATAAATCAAAACAGACGGAAATCAAATCCAAAGCAAAATCTACAAAGAAAACAAAGTAGAGCTAGATCAAATCAATGAATAAGGGAAGAGAAAGGATATAAAATGTTGTCATTAGTATGAAATCTTAGAAAGAAAGAATTGAATGAAAAAGGAAACCAAGACTGACCAAATAATAAATGAATCAATCAATTTATAGAAGAGAAGAATAGTAAACAATGTCATCGGATGAAATATGAGAGAAGAGTAAAATATATGAAAAGACAAACTTACCTGAAGAAATTGGATGGAAGAATTGGTTGGGTGTACATCAAGATGAAATAACACAAGTTTATAATTCAGATCAATCGGAGGAACCTAAAGAACAAGATACAAGATGAAGGAAGTTGAGAAAGGAAAAGGAGGGGAATATAAAAAGTAAAGAAAGTTAGTACAGAAGAATGAACAACAAGATAGAATAAGAGATGAAAACAAGCTCACCTGGATGATCAGAACACTTGAGAATCGAAAATCATCTTACTCAAAGTACGATGATATGAGATCAAACAACATTAGGGGGGAGATTCTCCAGAAGAAGAAGGCTTTCAATCAAAATTAAGATCAATCAGTTTTGTGACTTACATAAAAGTTCACAATCGGATTCTAAATGACTAAGTTAAAAAGAAGATAAGCTATTAGTGATGTGCAAGAGAGTGAAGAATGCGACTCACCTGACAGTGCTAATGGCCAAGATCAAGATTGTATTTGAATAAGATAAATTCTGAGTCCAAAACATCAACCTCAATCGCCAGGATGATGATGATCTTGAATGGGAGTTGATTGGAATTGATTTGGTTCTGGGGGTCTTTCATTTAAGATTTGTTTCAATATTGAGACTGGGTGGATTTGAAAGATTTCTTCTCTACATTTAGACAGATCCAATCGAATGATACCAAATCCTATAATGATTGAGATTTGATTCATCTCTTTCTTGAGAATGACGGTGATGATCATAATTTGATGTTGATGATGAATCTAAATTCGAAATTCCGCCTGCTTCACTCTTTCATGAATGGTTTATGATCTATTGGATCGATTCTCTTTAATGTTTTGTAAGTTGATTGATAAGAATGGTCAATCCGGATCTAGTAAATTGAGCCAGAGTTGAAGGTTGAAATTTGGACCGAGTTGATCTAAGTGATGAAGCTGAGGTGATTGATGATGATGATAAAAACAATTCCTTCAAGTTCAAGTTTATATCCTTGGAATTGAGTTTCTTGAATCAGAATGATAGATTGAGTCGGATATGAGGAATGAAACCTCGGTTGAAAGGTGGATTAAGTCGGTTAAAAGTGTTCCTTCCGAGCCAACTGACTTAATGACTCGATTCAAGAGTAAATTCACTTACCTGAATACCTCGTAAATAGAAAACGTCGGTCACACAATTGCGTGGTGATATTAGGTCGAATGAGGCGATAAGTCGGCAAAGGGTCGGTTTGGTTGGTTCGGATGATATCTCGGTGAAGGAAACCCTCGGGTCATCGTCAGATGCTTAGAGTCAGATGGCTTACATCGGATGGATCAACTCGGTGCTGTCTCGGTTGATGTAAGTCGGTATATATCTCGGATTTCGGATCCGAGGACTCCTCGGATTTTGGTATCCGAGTCAAATATGTTGGCAGTGAGGTCAGTGGACCCATCATTACAAGAGGGATATGATTGACGCACCGAGTCTTTGATAACAACTACCCATTTACCTTCTTCCAATAGATTTTGCTTTGAAACCGTGCCAGATTTATACAAAAATTGTAAATCTACGTCCAGCTTGGTACTGGTGTTTTGAGCCAAGCGATTAATGTCCAGCTTGACACAGATGTTCCATCGATGAAGCCGTGCGATGGATTTTTCAAGGCCTTCTACGTCACGCACCAGGATAGACACCAGCTTGCTACAATCACTGGGGTTTAGTTTAGCTGGAACACTGTCTGGTTCTGGGTGCGGGTTGTGACGTTTTCGGCGTCGCTCGTTTCCTTTGTTTTTCCGAACTTCGCTATCATGAATTAATCGTATTGAGCATAGCAGATCCTTGTCCAGTACCCGCTGTCCTGATGAATCTACGACTAGATCTCGAGTTGATTCAATAACCAAATCCAACTCTGCGGCTGAGTCCTGCGGAGTTTGGTCATCATGAGGCTCTGGAATAATTTCATGTCAGCTTGGATTGGTGAGATAAATCGTACAAAAAATGACACATGATTTCACCTCACCTTTAGGGTTCAAGAGACTTGAAATCGACATTCGATTTGCGTTCAGCTCGACCGATTCGATAGCGACATCATCCAGAGAAGACAGGTCACAGTCAAGATTGTGCCGGTCTTGAGTGATACTTGCAGCTGCGTGTAAGCTCGCTCCAAGTTGCGAATCATTTTCATCTTCTTGATAAACGATATCGTAGTGTTTTGTAATTCCAACCGAAACACTGTGATCTTCGTCATCGTAAGATTCACTCGGGTTGTCTTGATTATTCGAAGGGGTAGGTTTAGTACGCAAAACAACCTGCATGCCAGTGAATTCAATCAAGGTATGGGCACGCTTCTCTGCTAAAGCCATGATTTCATGAATCCTCTGGTTGGACGGATATATCTTGAGAAGCTTTGCCTGCTCAAACGATGCTGGTTCGTCTGAGAAGGAAAGGTTGTAGCCTGTGTAACAGGGAATAATGAATCATGAGCATCATTCAAGCAAATTGATTTTGATGGACTACACATACCTGCGTGAATGTGTTCCGATTTGGGCATCTTGATTCTCTTCATCATGATGCGTCTGATGATTGTGAAAATCTTTGGCATCATTTGCCTTGCGTCAAGCATTGTGAATTTGGGCAATATTACCCGCATCCAACCAAAGATGTGTTCACACGCCTCAGTGCCATGCTTCCAAGGTACGAAGGGCACATCGGGGAAGTGCTCGCGATGTGAGATGATTAAAGCAACAAGCGAAGAAGCAAGTTGACTAAAGATTTTCCAAGCTGGGTGAGAAATCCCATTTCGATCTAATGACATGAGCCCGTCTGTGTCATCGTACCGTTCTTTGAGAAAGGTCTTCCAACGCTTTAGAAATACATCGGCTGTATGTGACGATAAGATCCGCTCTTCATGTGATGCAGAGTTGCTGAGCCATGCGTCAACCAATTCACCGATGATAAACAAGTATACAGCAAGGCCAGTACATTCCGGATGTTGTAAAGCAAGTTCAAGTGTATCGCTGTTGAGGGCTCAATAGGCTCGTCCGTCATCTTGCCTGTCGATGTTAAATACATCCTTTTGATAAAGGGAACTATTTTCGTCCTGCATCAACAAAACCATATGACCTATGTTTATGTAGTATTTACCAAACGCAAGCAGTCGAGCTCCAGACAGTAGTTGATTGGCTCCTGTCTTGCGTGCATGTTTTGGGTCTTGCACAATCACCAGAGGTATCTGATTGCTTCCAAACAGCGGGATTTTGATGTGGATACCTGCCTGAGGTCGAGAAAATTCAATATAATTGATTGCTTTAGAAGTAAGTAACAGTTGTGCCGACATCTCAGTGGCCGCACCATCGGAGCCAAGCGATAGAACTTTAAGACCGGCGTCTTGCGCGAGAGTAAGGAAGGACTCGTGCTTTATACAGACATCCTCAGCGGTTTCGTTCTGGTTACTTGGTAAGAGGGCAACAACATAAGTTGGAACACCAGGTAGTGGTACCTGAACAGTATAAGCACGAATCTGTAGAACATACAGAATCAATCAATTTCCATTCATGTGGAACAAGCTGATCAAGATAAATGTGATCATAACTTACTTTTGAGCACAATTGTTTGTGCGAGATCAAGTCCTTAACTTTAGCTGTAAGGTCTTGCATCGACTCAAAGTGTACGTCTCCTCCTTGAGAACCTACTATGAATTCTCCACTGACACGAAGGGCTTTAACACACACGGTTTCGTCGGTTCCCACTGACACAGGTCCATCGTACCCGATCTCCTGAAGGTGCTTCTTGACTCGTGCGAAGTTGGATAGCGCCAGACCTTCTGCCATCTGCAAATCTTCATTTGCACGTATGTAGCGTCGGCTTCGTGGTCCACGTCCGGCCAGAGTCTCAGTAAACAAATCTGCACATTTGGGACTGATGGCGGCGAGAGTCATTATGAAGTCGTCAAAGTAAGGTTCGAAATGCATCCCAGTAAGTCCCTTGCCTTCGTTTTCCCTCTTTTGACGATTGGTAACAGCCATAAGTAAACCCTTTAGGACATCATTGTTATCAAACTTTCCCTCAAGTGCCATCGCAGTAAAACCTTGCCAGAACTTTTGATCGCCCGACTTCGATGGATTCTCAACATAACTTGATAAAGCATCAAGATGTTCGTATTGTCGACGTTTGGCATTCAAGAGATCGGGCTCCATCAAAGCTCGGCTGGTATATTTGACGCTTTCGCCGACTGAATAGTCTTTGTTTATTGCGTTCTTAAGAGTTGAATCCTTTCGTAAATCCCAACAGGGTGTACATACTTCAGGATGCATACCCTGGAGTAAGACTCGAGGGAGAGTACCCAGGCATTTGGTCGAATGAATGGTTTGGAAAGGTGAGCTACGATTAATCCACCATGTTGCTTCGGCTTTGCATTGATTCTGCCAGCGCTGTCTCTGATCATCATCTAGTTTGCTGTGAGCTGAAAAGCCAAACATCTCTTTACATATAACTTCTCGAGGCCGACAGCCGTGGTAAATATTTGAAGCACCCTTAATACAAGCAAGAATATCTCGTGTTGCCTTTGGTCGCTTCCAGGTCTTATCATTTATCCCAGCGCATGGGATGAGAGGTTTGGAGATGATAGGCTCTTTGTTCGGGACGGATTTTGCAAAGAATAGGGATGCAGAAGCAGTCTGTCGTATCTCGCGAGTTGCAGAGGTACATCTATCTACCAAAACAAGATCAGAACAGAATCAGGTTGAAGTTTTCGAGTTTGTAGGGATATAATAAATTCACGTACTTGATGCCCAGTGAACTTCTGCATTCTGAGCCCGACCTCCATAAAGTTTGATACCCTTGTGGCCACAATGGCACAGAAACTCAAGTCCGTTATCGTCATCTTTTAGTTTGCATCGTGTACATATCATCTCTCCACTTGTGAGTGGGCAGCCGGTCAACACCGTTGAAACTGGCCTGGTGCTGTGCACCGAAGTCTTCAAAGTCTTCGATTTTGAGTTACTCGTGTGATGATTTTGAATCGTAGGAGCTGATTTAGAATTTTTCTTGGCGGACTTCAAGTTTGATGAGACTGCTTTAGTAGAGGACGACGATTTTGACGGCTTATGTTTTTTGGAATTTACAATAGAGCAAGATATGATCTCGAGGTCGCTAGTATTTTCTTCCTCAGTGTCCAAATGGCCAACAGATGTTGAGGAAGTTTGATATTTTGACTGCTTTGGTTTGGCGGAAGGTACAATAGAGCAAGATAGGATTTCGACGTCGCTAGTATTTTCATTCTCGGTATTTGAATGATCAACAGATCTTGATGATTTTGACTCGATTTGTAACCGCTTGGCTGGAGGGGATAAACCTTCTTTTTCAACTATTTTGATCGGTGAAACTAATGTCTCAGAGATCACTCGTCGTTTTTTTCCCTTTGTGGCCTTAGGACTAGGTGCAGGACGATGACGGGGTTCAGGAAGCAGGGCTCCATGTTCTGGATGGTTTTTAATAAATAGATAAGGAAAATTAGATTGGTGAAGTCGAAGTGTATAATGTCAATCAACACTCACTGATGAGCGCTTCACGGATATTTTCGAGTTTGATATTGATAAGCTGATCTGAAGTGTTATCCCATGTCGCATGCTTTCGAGCCTTGTCGAGCCATTCCAGCACAAACTCCATACCATAGCAACCACTGAAGAGGTTTTTGTCAATCACATCAGCCCCAAAAACCGCGTCCATTGTTCTGTTCACGCGCCAGAACATCCCGTCATCCATGTCTGATTTGGTGACTTCAGGAAGGTTCTGAAAACTCTGATAAGTGATATCATCGGTGGTAGCCGAGCGTATGAAGTCGCAGTTGCTGGATAAATGTATAATATCTGATTTTAATTGTCTGTATGAGCGTGAGGACATTGTGAAAAGGGTTTGGTTGGTTCGAAGAGGCTTCAATATCTGTGGTAAACTGTGATGAAGTAAGTTTTTGCACCGTGAAAATCTCTGAACTTTGAAATCTAGCCGGGTTCATACTCCTGTGACATCTACGTCAAATTTCACAGATTTCAGACATCTGGAAATTCATACATCCAGGCAACCATGTTTTTTTTGAAAAAATCAAATTCATACGTGTTTCACCCCCACGTCAAAAAAAAAACAACCAAAAATTCATACCTCCCAGGTCCACCAGTTTTGGCGGGGCTTGCCGGGGTCCTGTTTTTTTCTTATTTGTCCAATATTTGCTGCTTAATATGTCTTTTGTCGGTAACATAGCCCAAATCTTGACCTCCAATTGATACCATTTTTGTTGGATGAGTCCATAGGGGCTTTCTGGGGGCCTGCTGAAGTAGATAACTCTTTGAAAAATTGATCCCCAACCTTTTGACTTCAACTATTGGAATGCCAAATCTCCAAACCAGTCCAGATACAAGGACACAGCATTGAAAAACAAACACCCAATTTGTTACCCCTCTGTTTCCATCCAACCATTCCTTCAGTCACATTCATCTTCTGATACTGGTTACATTCTCAAGATGGTTGCTTCATTCAACATATCACTCCATTCGCCAAATTCTCATTCTTTCTCACATTGTCATAATTTTTCTTCCCACCCTCCTACACCAGCTTAATGTTTTTTAGAGAATACATTTTCATTCCAATAGGAATGATACATCTATCTTCAAGGAAAACTTTGCCTCTAGGAAAATACAAGCTTCCATTTCTTGTTTATTTATAGTTTCATACTCCACTGACAAGTTATTAACAATAGTCAAGCCTTTGAAATATATATATATTTAATCCAAATTTGATACTTAACAATTATTTAATACTGGCCCTTTTAACTTTATATTGTTTAATTTTTGTAAAATTGAAAAAACTCTCTGTGTTATCCTTGATTTGATTTGTTTTCTGAGATTTCAACATTTGTTCTTTTCAATGCATTGTGGTAGAGTGCAGAACCACTCAAGTGGTGTAATTAGTTGTAGCCTCTGGAGACCCCATAGGGGTTTTGTGTTATTGTTTATTTCCATCTTTTTCATGCACTTCAGTCTTAGCTTTGGTAATTCAAAACCTTGTTTTGTGTGGACCACTTGGCAGCTCCACTCTGGGTACATCTGCCCCATCTGGCCCATCCAGCCCCAGATGCAGTCTTATTTTCCACAGCATCTAATGTTGCTTGTAAATGGTGAGAATTTCATGCCAGATGTCACCAACTGAGGTTGTTGCTCTTTCTAATAGACCAATAGAATTGACAACCGGTTGTAGGAGTCTGTCTAGGATAGAGTTTGATGTGAAATGATTGTGATTTTCAATTATGACCTGTAAACTCCTTTTGATTGTTGGAGTGGAGATTGACTTGTCTTTCAACATTGAAAGACACATAGCAAGCCTTGTTTGTGTGACTTGATCAACAACACCATTTTGGGCATTGACAACTATCACTTTCCTATAGGCGGACCTTAGGAAAGTCTCAATCAACCTTGCAATGGACAGGATTGTATTGTGACATTAGCATAATTCAAAAATACATGTCACCACATCAAGGTCATAATCAAGTCCAGCCTATGGGACAGCCTCATCATTTCAAGCCTAAGGTGCATGATGTATCTCCCAATTTGGTTATCAATGGGTCTCATTTTGACTATATGTACAAAATCACACAGCTCTGAGTTTGAACCTGAGCAAAGAATTATAGACAATTGAACACTTTCAGATGAAAAATCTATGTCTCAACAACTAAACAAGTATCTTAATTCACTTGAAACTATCCTTGACCTATGTACAACATAAGATTGTAATTGAGCATTTGAATTGGTCTTGACTTACAATGTCTTGTTTCTGCAATGAAAGGTTTGATAGATTTTATTATTGGGTCAATCTGGGTTTTTTCTGAGACTGTGATCTGCATTCAAAATTTTTCCTTGGAGGTGGGGAAAGCTCAAGGAGTAGTCTATTATGATATGTATTTGATTCTGATTGCTGTGAATATGAGTCAATCACAATCAAGGGTTCAAGTCTCCAGTCACAATGCCATCTGGTTGATAGTCTTCCACCAGCTGTGGTCGGTAGTAGGGCCATCACTGGGTCATCCAAGGGACGGCCATTGGGTAATCCAGGGGAGGATACCCCATCCTGAGGCAAGCCATGGACAAAGGCCAATCTTGGACAGTCTCAGAATCAGGCAGAGACTGGCACCTGGAAAACTTTTGGCCACCTGAATTAGAGGCGGACAGCACTTGATTATGGACAGCCTGTAGCCCTGTCTAGGGGCAAGCTGTGGATGAAGACCAATTTTGGACCACGGCAGACCATTATCCAAAAGGGCCGTGAGGAAACTCTCAAACAATACAAAGTTAGGACTGTTATTTGAAAACAAATATAAAGTAAATGCTAGGGATTTGGAAGCTTTTGTCAAGACAAAAAAATTCAAAAAGCATCTTCTAAAGAGGAAATCAGATGGAAAAATCTGGGTAAGGTTGGCTACTGTACTTGATATATTGGTGGAAAATGAAAAAGATTTTGAAATAGTTGGAAGAGCTGATTGATGGTTGCCATCAGGGTATAATGATTGGATTATTGACCATGGGGGAAAGTGCCAACGGCAAGCTTTATTTACACTACAATTTGTTAAAAAGTTTGATTGGCTGCCCAAGTGGATGCTTTGTCCATGACTGTGGCCTGATCATTACAACTGCCAAAATGCTTGATCATGATTAATATTTGCTCCAGCTTATGATTGTTCCAGGGCAACGGGTGTCCTGCATTGCTGATAATTGAAGGTCCAGTTTACAATTAGGGCAGTTCAAGACAGATTTTGCAAACAACCTGCTGGAAATGCACAAACATCAATCTTAGGGTTGTGATATCCTTAAGCTTTGCATTCACAGAGTGACAGAGGCTGTAATTATGAGTTTTACAGCCGTGTAAATCCAGGGCCAACATTCAAAAACTGAATTTTGCCCTGCTTTTATTAGCTCTCACTGCACGGTAGTGGCCTTTTTCTGAAATGTTTTTTTGCATGTGAAGCACTGAGATTCACGTGGTGGGCACTGATTTTGAATTTGGGGTAGGCCTGGGTGTGATTTTTTGGCTTTTTAAAGGCATGCCCTAGGTGTGGGCGCTGAGGCATGCCTCTGGAGTGCTCAGAAGCAAAAAGACTTGCAAAGACATCAAAAGTAGCAAGGATTGTATTTCACAATGCTGCACAAAGTAATTCAAGGGGGAGTTGCATCAAAATTTATCAAGATAGTTCTTCAAAAAGCTCATCCTCATACCAATTCTCAGTCTCAGTCTCTTGGGGCAGGCCCCAAAGGCCTGCCTTTTGCACCACGCCCACCACGTGAAATGCTACCCACAGATTTTCGCAGTGTGAGCTGCAAGTGGGAAGCGGAGAGGTCCCGGTTACTCATTGTCCAGAACGCTGAAGCCCTGCCATGGTGACAGGATTCAGTGAATTTGGGGGGTGAAACCGGATCTAAGAATATCAATTAATCAATTAATTAGTCTGCTCTTGACTTATCAAGGCAAAAATTCAACCTCCCTTCATCAAACCAAACTACAGTTTAGATTGGCTCATTGTCATTACAATCAAAGATAACATTTCCTTTCATCAAGATTTGTGCACAGCTTGATCTCAGCAGACATCCCACCAAAGAAACTTGTTCATTTGCTTGGAGTTCTGGCTGGCCAACAGATAGGAATGGCATACCACTGCCAGTGCCAGAAATCATGATGGTAGATCATTGCTTCCACATGGATCAAATGACATATGCGGTTGGGTTTGTCTAATTTTAAATTTCTCTTGTGATTATGGTAAGTTTAATAACTATATGGATGTTGAACTGCATCAAGTAATGGTGACTCAATCTGGATGTATCTCAGTATAACTGGCTCAACAGCCCTCAGCCATTGTGCGTACTCTTGTATTCCACTGAGGAAATTCAACACACGAGATGTAGAAGTGTAGAAGCGTAGACCACTTGGTCAGATTTTACCTGATGATGTGAGATGTATTAAAATTCAGGGTATGTATGACATGGGTGACCAAGAGTTCTGCAAAGGCTGCCCTTCGCCGAGAGGGACTTTGTTAGGTTAGCATGTAAGCAGGTGCTGCAGTGCTACAATTGCTTCAAGACATAGTAACGACCAAAAGGTGCGGTTCTATGTAGGAGACATGCACTGATCATACCTCATGTGGGTCAATCTTCAAATAATCAAACAAATCCTACTTTACTCCTCTCAGTATGTATGTTACTATTTGTATGTTACTATTTATAGATGCAAGCAAATTGAAAAATCTCAAACCCGTGTGACGCTCTGCCAGTCAACTTTTGTTGTACTTCAGAGAAACCATCAAGCACAGACTGATTAAAGTATAGATGTATATATCATCAAAAAAAATGAAAGACATAACAGCAAGAACACACACATCTACTTGGCATTCTGATTCAGACAACCCAGAAAAGTGAGACATATAGAAAGATATTAGGAAAAGATTGATTGATAAGTATGTATCGATCTTTATAGATATAGGGCAGTCCCTGAATAAAAGATATAAGCTACAATCCGCCTCATCACGACCACGACTAGGCTGCTTCCTCCCTCACCACCATATCAGCAATATCGCTCTCATGCAAAGCCTATTGAGACGCACGAGAAGAAGCCGTGTCAGCACAACAGTCTGTGAGTTCATAAGGCATCATGGCTTACCAAATCCTTCCGATCCTTCATTGATGGCAATCAATAGCATCCGCCTCAGATCATCATAGGAGTCATACGAAGGTAGACTGCATGGTGGGAAATTATCAGTAAACACATGACATGCTTATAGTAAATTGGGCAACTCACTCTATTTGATTGAAACACGTGTGGGCACTAGGTAAGATGTTTTTGGTATGCGCGTTGACGAGTGAAAACTACGATAATTGCGGGCATGAAGCTGGATGAGCAAACAATCAAAACAAACCGCAGACCTTGATACATACCTTAGTTGCACCCTGCGCTCCTTGAAGTGCTCCAAAGCCCTCTAATGGTACCCTGGAGCTACCGGTTGAGAATTGTAACAGTTTAGCTCGTTCTTCTTGATCAAACGATCGCACTGCCCTCCAAAACCACGTCACTGTAGAGTCTGACTGTTGGAATTGATGTAGTTCCGTGTTTGCTCTCCAATCTTCGACATTTATGTCAGGAAGCCCGTTCAACAAGAGTTGCAACTCAGTTGCCGAAAAGATTCGTACTAAGTCGCGGGGAATGATCTCGTCGAAACCTTTCTTGAAAGCCTCTATTTGATCCTTGATAGAGAGTGTCAATCGGTTTTGAACCAGTAATTGCACATACTCAGCCTTATTTTCGTTCGTGACCGGTAAGTTACGGCCGTCGGGCTTCAGGTCGACAATTCGAGTGGATCCAAAGTCATCAGCTTCAACACTGAACGTTAGTTCGAAGATGCCATCGATATCATTATCAAGCATCCATTTCAAAGACCGATGATGCTGTTGAATAATTCAGAGGCATGAGTTCCAGTCTCTTTAAGATAAGAAACATGTACTTACATCCGGATCAACAGACTCTAAATCACTCAGTCCAACTGATGTCCCCAAGAGATGTTTATAGAATGCCAAGGTGAAATAGGCATCTACAACTCGCCCATCATAGAGAGCTGAAAAAGAAATGGGTGTGAATGCGTCAGTTCCACAACTGCGTCATCAATAGTGATGTCTGTAAGATAAATTCAGACTGACCTTTTCCGATCACTCGACCACAAAACGTGAAGAATCCAAGATGGTCGGGGTTTATAGCACTCGCTCGATTGGGCTGGTAGGTCTTCGAATCCGCTGCACTGCCAGTGAAGAGTGCATAATTTGGATCCAACATCTGCTTGACTAAGATTGTCAACCATTCTCGGGTGACACCTCCGGCATCCACTCCTTCTTCGTCATAGAACCGCACACTGAGTTTTCCATACTTAAGTTCATCTCCTGTTCTTCGAGCAAGACTATGGAATGAGTCCTCGAAGACGTGTGGTCGTCGGACATTCAGTTGAACCGTGCCATACTGTTCCCTTGAGCGAGCCTTGTGAAGCTGTTGACTGAAATAATTCCGCTTGTTATCGAACTCGAGGACTTTTGGATTATGAACCAAGATGGAGAACGAGCCACTCATCAATCCTGGATTGTTGCGAACCATCGTGTTCAACACTTTGCGATGTCGTTCTGTGAAACTCAAAAAGAAACCTGATGCAAGATCTGATGCCGATAGACTGGCGTCATCTGAACGCGGAGACATTGATCCAGTCACCTTGGTTGCCTTGATGACATTGACTCCTGCGTGTTTGCAAACCACTAGGAAAGATTCCATCAACGGCAGCAAGACTGTAGCGATGTGAATCATATCGTCTCGCTCTTGTATCAATGTCAAGCACTCGCTCAGTTTGGCCCACAACGGTCTGAATCGGATCGTTTGGGCTTTAGACTGTTCATCGGCCTTAGCGCTCGTTGGACTGAACAAATCGGGTTCCACGGTTGCAGTCATTGCCGCAGTCATCGTCAAGGGTGAAGATGGTTCAGGCGTAGGAAGCTGAGCAGTCTCCTGTTTCTTGGCATGAGCATCCAGAAATTCAGTGGTTTTCAGGATCCGCAATAACTTAGCCTGTTGGGCCGAGGCAGATGAAAACTTTGCCAAAGTCGTGGATCGCACTTCTGCAGCATTGGGAGCTTCACGAATGGCCACAGCGAGTTCATCCAAATCGGGGAGCAATGCATTTCCTAATACGTTGGCTCGCTCAAGAAGCTCAGAAGCTATCGTTTCGCGTCCATTAGGGATGATAGAGACCGCTTGAATGAAGGTGACAGTATGACTAAAAGTCTTGCTAGAGCATTCACCAGAGTCAAGAACATTGACAATCATTCGAATATCTTGAGGTGGTAAGGCGGGTGCTTTTTCTAACGCATTCGGAGGCGTGTCGATCTTCTCCGAAGTACTGGTGGCAGTTCCGTCGTCTGGCGAAGTACTTGGTTGAGCTATCGTTGAGGGCGGTGCGGGGACTCTACCAAATTGTGTTTGGACATATCCTGGAGTTGGCGAGGAAGGTGCAGGAGCTGAGCGGATTTTACCTTCTTCAAGTCGTTTCGCAAGGGCAGTGAGTGGTCGCCCAATGAGGGCTAGTAGACTTGTGATCGACTCAGTCAAGTTAGGCTGCTTGAGTAGACTGGTTTGATCAAGTAAAGCTAGCAGGCTAACGATTGGATAGCTGAGCGTATTTTGAACCTTTTCCTTGCCTTTACCTTTCTTGGCCGACTTTCGGTGAGAAGCAAGGGGAACTTCTTGTTCAGTCAGGAAATAAACTGGAACCCGATCGTTCGCAGTAACGAGAAGCGAGAGAGCTTCGAGACATCGTAGTGCAATCAGGTTAGGCACACTTTCACCAGGGAATTGAGGAAGAGGTCCAACGTGGGTTTCACGTCGCAGTTTGATTGTTGATTTAGGTGTGGCAGGAGTCAAAGCCTTACTTGCTCGTGACGATACTTGCGAGAAGCTTTTGTCGATTGTAGCAGCATCTCTTGTACCGTCTTGCAACAGGCCCAATAGAGTGCCGATCAATTCAGTCCGACTACGAGAGTTTTCACACAGATTGACTAGAACCTTCTGAAGAGAGTGGCGACGCAACGGCTGGGGAAAAAACATCAAGCGAACTAAAGCTGCGATACCAGATCTGTCCAAGACTTGGACTGCATCTGCTTTCGGAGGGGGTTTCTTCGCTGCTATCCCCGAGGAGCTGGTGATGGGTAACCCAGTGAGTGGATCACGGTCTCTTGACGGTCGGATGGCATGTTGGCGACGGGTCATCCGATCCCTCATGGCATCCACTTCTGCCAGTAGGTTGGGAGGCAAAGTAGAAATGAAGCCGTCATCCTGCTCGAGCAGAACAGCTTCTCTTAAGGTCGGATCCAGACTAGCGAGAAAGGTAGCCGAATCCACCTCGGCAGGTTCCGCCGCGGCACGAGCTGATCCGGTGGCAAGGGCGCGCCGCTCGCGTTGTTCTTCACGCCTACGACGTTCTTGATCTGCCAGTTCGGAACGTATCACCTCGGCACGTATCTCAGGTGGCAGTGCGTCCAAGAATTCGGGACTGATGCTGGAGGGCACAGGAACAGACGACTCTTCGCGAGCTGGACGTTGCTCGCGGAAGTGTTGATTCAATACTTCCTCTCGCATATCATCGGGCAAAGCTTCCAAGAAAGTAGGATCGACCCCGGTGTCGGTGATGTCAACTTCTGCGCCGTTGATCATGATAGTTACTCGATCTCGAGAGGTAGTACTGGTACCGGGTTCTGGTGCGACCGGATCAGCACTGACTTCCGCTGGCTGCGACGTTGATGGAGCTGGTTCCGTGGCTGATACTTCTGCACTTTCAACTGATGAGGGTACATTTGCTGTCAAAAGTGAACTTGTTTCATTGTCACCATCAATACTAGCACCAATTCCAGCTGCCAATTGACGAGCCAGGTTCATCACTTCGGCTACATCGTCTTGTACAGTGACCCCTTCCATGGCATGGGCGGCGTCGGCAACTTCGGGACTAACATCTACTGCAAACAAGGGGAATAAATGGTGAGAAAAGATATCATAGCTGGAAGGATAGGTCAAAGACACGAAAAGAGGCTTACTTGATTCAGTCGCTCGGGGTGCAATGTCTTCATCAGTACCATCACGCATTTCCACGTCATCATCTGCAGTCGAGGCTAAGGGCGTAGTGGCCTGAACAGCAGGTTCATCGGTCGAGGCCGCAGCGGAATCATCAGTAGATTGAGCCTGAGGTGCAGCAGCTTCAGTAGATGTCTTCTTCTCTTGGTCGGATTTGACGTCTGTTTGAAGGCGTTTAGCTTCAGCAACAAATTTAGCAGCTTTCTCTTGGGCAATCTTTTTGGCACGAGGTCCGAGGATCGCCAATATAGACTTTTGGATTCGAGCAGGGTTCTCCGCAGAAGAAGCTGTCTGATGGAATACCCGAGCTTCTTCGGACCAACGAGGAAGAGTAGCAAGGGGCATAAGCGTTTGACCAGCCACGCGATCAGCCAGATGTCGATCAAGCCGACTAGCTGGTGCCGCACTGGTGGATGCATGTAGTCCCTGTAGTCCCTGGGGACCCACAGGCATCACGACGCCTCGTGTGGGATCAATAACGACCCCACCCAATGATGGACCGTTCGGACCTTGACCTAAATCAATGTGGATAGGACGCTGCCCAACAGCAACAGTACCGAGAATCTGTTCGATGATTTGACCGGCTCCACCACCGAGAAGATTTTCGATGGCTGTAAGCCATTGATCCATTGAGCCAGATCGCAGGTCCATGCGTCGATGTGATCGTCCAGATCCTTCTCCGCGCACCGGGGCTGCGCTGTCTTCGGTCAGTAGCGGATGAACTGAAATGCTTGTGTTGGGTTGACCTGCTCGTTGTCGACCCCCAAAAACGTTGTCGGTAGCTTGATCTTTCAAACAACAAGTTGGAAATAGGATACAGGTAAAACGTGAGTAGGGTGAGTAGTCTGTAATGAAATATGAAATCTGCACTTACGAAGCAAGCTATGCCGATGAAGTGTGACGCCAGGAACCGCCTGGAGCTCTCCGCGTGGTTGGAATGGTAAAACTCCATTCCAAGACCAAGGAGTGGCTTCCGTCTGAGCATCGCCTAAATTCGAATCGACCACCACCTCGTCTCCGAAATCAATTGAACCCCCTTCAAATCCATCATCAACCACTGCATGTGTCGGGTCAGCCAAGGAGACGGCTTCATCATCTTCCAAGTTATCTTCTAGATCACCAGCTTCATGGACGGTCGGAAGAATATCATCAGTGGCGGAAGGTAACACTAGATCAGATCGACCATGATTGAGAAAATTCATCAATCGAGTGTCATCTCCCAGAACGTTTGTATTCTCCAAGTTGTCAGCTCTATTGGTAAGTAACGTCAAAAACGATAAGTCAGCTTCAAACTAAGGATTCGCGAGGGGGGGCGGATCTTACATGATATCAGCCTCAGCTGCACCTGTGGACATGTCCAAATCCAAGTCAGTATCATCCTCTACCATCTCGTCGTCATCTCCATCTTCGTCGTCCTCATCGTCATCATCATCATCGTCGTCATCATCATCATCGTCATCGTCATGATCAGCTTCGGATGTATCAGTATCTGCATCTCCCATATCAGCCGTCACGTCACCCTCTTCATCTGAAGCATCGGATAGGTCGCTACCTAGAAGGGCTCCATCGTCGATATCATCCATATCTTCATCCTCATCATCAAAGTGTTCCCCATCCTCTGAAGTAGTAGGCGTATTCTCTCGATTACCAGGTTCAAGTTCACCTTCGTAGAGACCAAGTGCGGAGTTTCGGTAGAGGTCTGGCGCATCATCGTCACCTGCCATCTCTTCATCTCCGTCCGAACTATCCGACGTAGCGCTCTCAACTTCCACCGTTGACGTCGCGCCGGCGCTGCCTTCCACAGCTTTGCGGTCAGCTGTACCTCGACCAATTTTGGTAACAGCCTTGGTGAGGTGTTCCAAAGGTCGGAGGATCGAATTGAGGAGACGTTGCACGGAGGGAAAGTTGAGATCTACATCAGCCAGTGCATTAGAGAGTAAGGCAGCAAAGTTCTTCTCGAGCATGATCTTGGCAATTTGTATAGGTGCATCGCTAGGTGTAGCCGACGGCCGTTGAGCAAAGGGTGCAGCAGTCAAAAGCCGATAAGCCAAGTCCGAAAGAGCATAAAGTCGACCATAACGAGTGTCTACAGGCTCATCTGAGATTATTGCCTCCTGAAATGCCCTTCCCAAGCCGTTGATTACGAAGGCGCGGGCTGTTGTCACCCCTTCGGCAGGCTCTTTCATTGCGTTTGGCTCGTGACAGAGAGCAACCAGAACCATGATGGCCCAACTAGCGATGGCGGACTTCTTTTGAGATTCGGCGGTATTGGGTTGACTGAGGGGTCCGGTAGGGATGAGATCGGATAACATGAAATTCAAGATCTCGTGTCTGGACTTGAAATCATTTGGAGTTGCTGTCGTCTTTGTAGATTTACCCTTACGGTTATGAAAGCTCATGAAGCTGATCTTGCACTCGTTGTAAGATGCCAGCAATTCACTCATCCATGACATGATGAAGCACGCATGAGAGAAGGCGGCGAC